TAAAATAATTATATTTTTGCCAGGGGGTTTTGCTACATCGACTATCTTATAGCCTGACTCGCAACGGAGTGCCGCTACATCGACTATCTTATAGCCTGCTGCTACAAGGAAGTGCTGCTACATCGACTGAGGGTTTGGCATGGGGAAGCAACCTTTTTTCTTTTATTAGATCAATGTAGCAAAACTCCCTGGCAAAAATATAACTATTTTAGGCCGCGTAACCGCGAATTACCAAAAGATTAATGTTTCAGATTAAAACTGTTGGTATTTAATAGCAACAGTTTTAATATTTTAAAACATTAACATTTAATATTTTAAAACAATAAGAAGTTTTTTGTTTTAATTACACCAACGAAGTTAATATTTTAATAAGTTTTGTAATAGCCTATTAAAACTGATTGTCAACTGTTAGTATCAGTTTACAATTTTATTAAGAAATCACATATAAATAAGTATATTACATACTTCATTAGTTTATTCTTAACAAAAAACTTCTTATTGTTTTAAAATATAACAAAAGATATCATTATTATTGTCTTTTATCATATTTTGATTATATACTTCTTTATCTGTGTGTTGGTGTTTGAATCATTATACAAGCATGTCCAATATTTATTTCTTGTTTAGATCCTACCCGGCTCTTTGTTGATTTTTTGAGATTTGGTAAGTATAAATTACATAAATTTTGGTAAGTTTGTATCAGTTTGTATATGTTAATGATTATAGAATTAGCTATTAGTTTTTAATCTGTGAATAGATTTCAAAGACTACCAATTTCTAAGCCATTATTTGCAATATTTATTTTTTAATACAAATTTTGAATTTTGCTACATCTTTGTGTTCAACGAATGGTAAGTTTAACAATTATTACTTTAATATGTGTATATATTTCTGATGACTGCATTATAAATTTTTTATTAAATAAATTTTAACCTTAGTTCCTTCTACATCTTCTATAAGTGTTATGTTTACAAATTTTTACTTTTCAATATGTTTATGCATATCTTGGCAATTACAGTATTTATTTTTAATTACAACTTTGATAACCTTTAGTTATATCATCAGTGGCTTCTACAACTAGTAAGTTTAAAAACTATTATTTGAAAACATACACACCTAACTTATCAATTGCAAATTTTTATAAAAACTTTTTTTATCTTTAGTTCCATGTTTACAACCTTCTGCTTGTAAATTTATGATTTAAAAATGCTTCTGAATGATTATTAAATTTATGCTTATATACACTATCTAATGCATTAGTATTGTGTTATCCTCAAAGTGAAGTAGAATGAAATTATTACTCTCATTAACATTTTTTGATGTATCATTGATTAATATGTTGTTCATATTATTTATTCAGCTCATCACTTTTGCAATTAATTGTTTTATATTAAAATTTACATAATGCCATTCAGTACTAATCATTGTCATTTAGAGCTAACCTATCAAGACTATCTTTTATATAGGTCCCAGCATCCTAGACCCACAAGCAATAGCTCATTTAAGCGATGGGTCGAGTTAGGAGGAAAGGGTAATGATTCCTTTAAATGGCAATCATCCTCCTAACAAGGGTGCTAAGAGCTGCAGCAGAAGGGGAGGTGGCCAAGGTCGTGGAAGCAGAGGGAAAAGATGGAATGGTGGCAGTCTTGTGGTTCATGGCATTTTTCCCAATTTTTACCATTAATAATATTTGCAAAATTAGTTTTATCTTTGGCTTATTTTTAGGGTGGATACTCCAATATGCATCTTTTAATGGGGTAAGATTTGTAAAGTTATGTCTCTCTTTTTAAATAGACAAAATTTTAAAACATTAAAAAAAAATTTATTGACATTTTTTTCAAGTTTGAATAAGAAGGAGGAAGGGGGGCTTTGGGTGTGGCACATGCCTCTCCCCTAACTAACATAGTAAATTAATCTTGAATACTTATTTCTCTTATTTTTTACTAAACTCAATTTAAAATCTTTTTTCAAATATCTTTAAAAAAAATTTTTTTACATTGGATGACTGGATGGAGGAGGGAGGAGGGCGTGGCACATGTCCCACCCCTAATGTTAATTTATACACTACTTGTATATGCTGCAAAGTAAGAAAATATAATTTAAACTTTTTAACACAAAATATAATCAGTATTTTTTAGGTTAAAATATTTAAAAGAATGTAACATTTCATTACGAGGGTGTTAAAACGTAACAAAATCATCCACCCTCAAATCTTAAATACACCACTATTATTTGGAAATGGAATGGAAGCAAATTAGAACAATTTTTTGAGCATTTACTTTTTTACAGACTTGTTTAATGTTTTATCAAACTGAAAGCATATTTTTTTTTTATGCTATAGACAAATGTTAAAAATTTTTCAAATTAGTTTATATGGTTTGGCGTGCCTACAGTTATGGCTTAGTCACTAAGTTACGAAAATGAAATACACTAAGTTAGTGTGTTTCGTTTTGATTTTTCAAGCAAATCTCAATGTCACGTAACAAAATATGGTAAGGTT